TGTGTGTGTGTGTGTGTGTGTGTGTGTGTGTGTGTGAGTGTGTGTGTGTGTGTGTGTGTGTGTGAATATAAAGATTGAAAAACAATGACAGACAGACAGACAGATTCACAGAAATATGGACTGACATAGAGATAGACAAAAGAATTAACATACAAATCGACAATCAAACAGACATACAGATAGACTAACATATACAGACAGACGGACAGACAGACAGACAGACGGACGGACTGACAAACATACAAACATACAGACAGACTCACCTCAGACGGGCTGTTTCCAAACAGAACATCTCTGATTGTCTCTCTCTTGGGTTCTTTCCCCTGTGGACAACGGAAGACAAAAACTGTATCATCATCATCATCATCATCATCATCATCATCATCATCATCATCATCATCATCATCATCATAAATAGCCAGAAAGTCTGCAAGGGACTTCTAGGCAACAGCTCGGACATAAATGATCAGCGCCGCAAGTTCAGTGAAGCCATTGCAACAATAAAAATCCAGCACCTGGAAGATGTGTATTTTGGGTACTCCTATAAGCGGGAACAAAATATCACATGTCGCTGGGACCTGGTTGAGCTAGCGAGGCTGCGGTCGGACAATCATTGGAGCTTAAGATTGTATGATAATTTTGTAAATGAAGAGCTTAGCCCACTTTGCCGAAGATGCAGCCTTGAAAAGGAGGATGTCATAGCATATGTTTGAATGTCCAGGAACAATGGCAATTCGAATAGAGTTATTTGGACGAGTGGAGGTGCCTCTGAGTATATTGACAATGGAGCCGAAAAACAGCCTCGCTCTGGCTCGCTCGAAGATTTCTTCGTGGAGTCCACCAGGTTCATTAAGGAAACAAAAAAGAATTATCATCATATCATCATCATCACCACCACCACCACCACCACCACCACCATCATCATCACCATCATCATCACCACCAGTTTAAAAAGTGTACAAATAAAGTCGTGAGAAAGCTTCAGACAGTGTAATGCCGATAACGTGAACAAAAGTTTGTAGTGGACAAATGGCACAGCCCTTGGTCGCGTGGTCTTCTCGGGCAGTATAGGCAATGACCTACAAATACAGAGAGCGACCTACTAATGTTTTGAGTGACCTACTTATACAGAGATGGACTTACTCACACATAGAGTGACCTACTTATACATAGAGTGACCCACTTTTACATATAGTGACCTACTTATACATAGAAGTGATCTGCGAATGCTGAGAGTGATCTACTTATACAAAGTGTGATCTATTTATACAGAGTGTGACCTATTTATTCACTGAGTTCTACAAGTTTTTTTTACTGCACTGTCGTGGAGAGGTTGAGTGGGTTGAGGGCGGGGGAGGGGAGGAGGATAGATAGATGGATAGAAGATACGCGAAAATAACGATAGAGTTTGAGAGAGTTAGTGTGTGTGTGTGTGTGTGTCTGTGTGTGTGTGTATGTGTGTGTGTGTGTGTGTGTGTGTGTGTGT